TTCGAGGGATTTGACTAACATGTCATCGATGTAAACTTCCATCGTTTTCCCGAGCTGCTCGGAGAACATCCTGTTGATGAGCCGTTGATATGTCGCACCAGCGTTCTTGAGTTCGAAGGGCATGACTTTGTAGCAATAGATGCCTCGGTCTATGATGAATGCTGTCTTCTCGCGATCGTCGGGATGCATGAGAATTTGGTTGTACCTTGCGAAAGCATCCATGAAGGATAACAGTTTGTTCCCCGCAGTTACTTCCACTAAACGATCGATATGTGGGAGCGGAAAACTATCTTTAGGGCATGCTTTGTTCAGGTCGGTGAAATCAACGCAAACTCTCCACTTGCCGTTCTTCTTTTTCACCACAACGGGATTTGCCAACCAGTCCGGGTACCTTGCCTCGGAGATTGATCCAATCTTCATTAGTTTTTCCACTTCGGCATTCACAGCATCTGCGCGATCTCGGCCCAATTTCCTTCGCTTCTGCTTGATGGGCTTAAAAGATGGGTCCACATTCAGCTCGTGGCAGATCACGTCGATGCTTACTCCAGGTAGGTCTTCTGCCGACAAGGCAAAAATGTTGATGTTCTCCTTGAGGAATTTGATGAGCTCGGTCTTGATCTCCTCGGTTAAGTCGCTACCGATTTCTACGCAGCGTTCGGGTCGTTCGTCGTCAAGGCTGATGGAGATTACTGGATCCGAGGTAGGCTTCTTCTCCTCGCGTGCCTCCTCGATCTGTAATTGCTATAAGTGTTTAGATGCTGCCTTCTCTTCGCTCCGGCCAAGTTTCGATTTCTTGTGGTCAGCTTCGGCCTTTGCTTCGGTGACAGGGTTTCGGAGTTTGTGTGCTGCCTTAAAACACATCCGTAAATTTTTCTGACTGCCCCAGATAGTTTTTACGCCATTGGGGGTCGGGAATTTGACACAGAGATGATACGATGAAGCGACAGCTCGCATTAGTTTTAGCCACGGCGTCCCCATTATGACGTTGTAGATGGTAGGTTGATCGGTGACCGAGAAGTTGACTATCTTTGTCACCCCGCCGGCTCGGACCGGTAATTGGATAGTTCCAAGCGTCATCAAAGTTTCTCCTGAAAAACCGAGGACTGGCCTCGGGGTCGGAGTTACCTGTGACATATCGATGTTTATTTGTCGGAGCGTTTCGCGAAAGATCACGTCGATGGTGCTGCCGGTGTCGATTAATACTCGGTAAATGTCATGGTCTCCTATCGCTAATGTGATGACGAGTGGATCGTTATGAGGCATGTCGAGCCCGTTTGTCTCGCTTTCCTCGAATGTGACCACGTCGTTAGGTCGATCGAAGGGTCTTGTCCAGTTGCTAGGCGCCTCGGCTTGGCGTTGATAAGCTTTAATTGCCGCTACGGTGTCAGGACAGTACGGCGATCCACCCATTATGGTGAGGACTTTTTGCCGTGTACTGTCTCGGTCTTCATCTTGCGCTCCTCGGGTTCTCTTTTGAGACTCTTGGTTCCTTGGCTCGGGATCCCTTTCTGTGTCAGTCTGCTCGGGTTGAACTGGCTCTGGCTCTAGGTCCTTCAGTGTGACGTTCATCCCGAGCTCTCCTGCCAAGAATTTTGACGCCAATTTAGCCCTTAGACTCCGGCATCGCGAGGTGTGGTGCCCGAAGATTTTATGGTGTTCGCAGTACTCTTGATCATTGCTTGGTGGTTGATCTCTCGTCCAAGTGAAAGTCTCTCTTCCTCGGCCACGTCCGCGGCCTCTACCGCGACCTCGTCCTCGGGGTGCATCAATCTGGTAGTTGTGGGCTCCCAAAAAATTGCGTCCTTCATGATATGTATATGTTTTGCTCTGGTTCGCCTTTTTCTGGACCGGTGGTGCTGCTTGAGTCTTCTCGGCTCGAGGTGCTTGCTTCGTTGGCTCGTGCCTCTTTGCTAGCAGTGCCATCTCTTCATCATGGGCAACGAAATCCGAGGCTCGATGCAGCGCATCGCGAATCGTCGTAGGTTTAGATAGGTTCAGCTCTTTTCTGAATTCCGACTTGTACCAAAGAGCTTTCTTTAAAGCCGAAAGGGCGGCTACATCTGTGATTCCTTCGACCTTGGCTAGCGTTGATTTGAAAGTTGTGAGGAAATCTCTTAGCGGCTCGGTGGGCTGTTGAGACAGAGACCACAGATCCGCGTCAGAAGTTCCGGGGTCGATGAGCACGCAGTATTGCTTGAGGAACAGTGTTGACAGCTCGTCGAAACTATCAATCGAGTTTCGTTCTAATCTTGAGAACCAATCCAACGCGGGTCCCTTGAGGTGTTCCACGAACAGTAAGCACAGACCAGCATCCTTCTCTTTGGGCTTGAACCTGGCTTGGGCCACGGATATCATGAATGATTTAATATGGCCCTTCGGGTCGGTTGATCCTTTGTAAGAGTCGATTTTGAACTTGGACATCGTCGTTTCGGAAATTCTTTTGGTGAAAGGCGTATTCCGAGATTCTTCCAGGATTCGGTCGATGTTAGGTGCAGAGGACGAAACGCTATGTATCTGGGTTTTGACGAACTTCATATCGGCTTCCGCCTTGGCTAGGGAGGCCCGGATCTCGCCGAGCTCGCGTTCTCTTTCGGACTCCTCGGCCCATCTTATGTTTTTCTCAGTTTCTTCGTCATCTGTGAGATCGGTTCGCTCGGCAGAGTTAGCTCCGGCTCGGGTACGCTCGCCTTGCGGATTATCCAGCTCGTCTGTTAGGTCCACTGCGTTTGGGTCGGTGGGATCATCTTGATTCTCGCGTCGGGCAGGATCGGTTCGGGTTGCGACTCTGGTGTTGTCGGTTGGCGTCGCGAACGTGAGCCTTGTTGGGTTGATGCCAGGCAAGTCCCTCCGGGCTCGTAGCGGTCGAGTCTGGAAACGCGTGGTTTTTTGTTGCCCACGGGATGCGATTTCGTCAATTTGCTGCGCCAAGGTTTTGCTAGCTTTCTCTTGATCGTCAGCTTTCTTCTGGAATTTAACCATCATATCCTTCAGTTCGGCTAGGGTCGCTGAGATTGTCGGATCGGCTTGGAGATTTTGAAGGTTCGGAGCGTTGGGGTTTCCTCCCCCGGCTGGCGGTATCTGACGATCGTCTTCGTTCACCATCCTCTCTGGTATTTGAGTCCTGCGTTATTAGGGTAAGAGAATTCTAAAGTAGCTCCCCACAGACAGCGCCAAACTGTGGAAGTCGAAACTAACACAATCAAGATTTGTCTAGGGTTTTAATTTAGGGATACGATTTGCTAGAATTCTCAAAGAACAACAGAAACAATTGTAACCAAATATGGTGTTCTTGATATTATTATGAAAAAAATGCTTTGATCGTACAAGAGTTTGGTCGTAAAAGAAAAAAGTGTTTGCGCTTTAAGAGCTTTGTGTAGTGTAAATTCTATAGCGATCCCCCCTCAAAGTGAGAGCCTTGAGTCTCTTTATATAGGGATGATAAGCCGCCTCTCCAGCGATATTCTCAGAAGATTTCCATTTATCTTGAAGTCGGCTAGAATATCGCGGATTAGGATAATTTCCTTATTCTTCGGAGTCTTTGGAAGATTTCCTGATTTGAGTCGATCCTTCTAGATTCTCTGTTATCATTTCCGGGTATATCGGAAATGATGTCTTGCTTAGAAATGATAATTCTGAAGGCAAATATTTACTAAGTACTTGCCTCGGGTGTCTTGATGATTTCGGCTCGGATACTCTCGTCGACTGAGCTCGGGTACTTGAAGAGAAGCGGCTAGGGCGACTTGTGAAGTCGGCTCGGACGAAGGGAGAGCCCAGCTCGGATATGATGGCGTAGTCCTTTTGCCTCGGACAATTCTGCGAAGTCGGCTCGGGGTGAAAGGAAAGCTCAGCTCGGGCATGGTGACACAACGGTTCCCAAGCTGTCACGGCGAACGTCCCCGAGCCGGTATAGGATGACCCGAGCCGTATCAATCGGTATTCTCCGAGCCAGTTCAGTGATTGATCCTGAGCTGTTTTGGCAGTGTTCCCCGAGCCAGTTCGGTGATACGTCCCGAGGTGTTATGTCTTAGCTCGGACTTAACGCGGGTGAAATCCGACCCCAACAAGGTATGCACATAGAAAGGAGTGTGAATGGTATGTCTATGCCTCATATGATAATGAAAGGCAGTTGTGGGTTGTGAAGACCAAATGCTTGGATCATGTGTGTACTTCTAATGGAAAATGCAAGCTGCTGAAAAGGAGAGTGATTGGGAGATTTTTTATGGATAAACTAAGGTTGCAGCCTAATTTCATGCCTCTTGACATTCAGAGGCATATCAAGGAGCAATGGAAGCTGGTTAGTACTATAGGACAAGTGCAAGATGGAAGACTACTAGCTCTGAAGTGGCTGAAAGAAGAATATGCTCAACAGTTTGCTCTCCTCCGAGGATATGTGGCAGAAATCATGACTTCAAACCCAGGATCAACTGCAATTGTTGATACCATTCCTGATGCCAAAAGGAATGATGTCTTTAACCGGATATATGCATGTCTTGGAGCAATGAAGAATGCATTCTACTACTGTAGGCCACTCATTGGGATAGATGGAACATTTTTGAAGCATGCGGTTAAAGGATGTCTGTTCACTGCTATTACTCATGATGCTAACAACCAAATTTATCCAGTGGCTTGGGCAACTGTTCAGTCTGAGAATGCAGACAATTGGCTCTGGTTTTTGAATCAGCTCAAGCATGACTTGAACCTAAAGGATGGCAGTGGCTATGTGGTCATATCAGATCGTTGCAAGGTATGTATTCTCTTATGTGTCATTGTTTTATTATGTGTAGATGATAGTGCTTTATAGGTGCTAATGTGTGTGTTTTTGGCAGGGAATTATTAGTGCTGTCAAGAGTGCATTGCCAAATGCTGAACACAGACCTTGTGTGAAGCATATAGTGGAGAACCTAAAGAAGGGACATGGATCATTGGATTTGCTGAAGAAGCTTGTCTAGAATTTAGCATGGAGTTACAGTGATTCACAATACAAAGCTAATCTCAATGAGATGAGAGCTTACAGCATGTCCTTGTATGAGGATGTTATGAAGGAAGAACCAAAGAATTGGTGTAGAGCTTGGTTTAGACTAGACAGCTATTGTGAGGATGTGGACAACAATGCAACAGAGTCTTTCAATGCCACAGTTGTCAAGGCTAGGGCCAAAGCATTGGTTCCTATGATGGAAACAATTAGGAGACAAGCAATGGCACGTATAAGTAAGAGAAAAGAGAAGATTAGCAGATGGAAGAAGAAGATATCTGAGTATGTCTCAGACATTCTGGAAGAAGAGTGGGAAATTGCTGTGCAATGTAAAGTGACGAAAGGAACACATGGAAAATTTGAGGTTTGGAAAGATGGGAGCTCTAATGCTGTGAACTTGACCACTGAGGAGTGGGACTGCTCATGCTGCAAATGGCAAGTCACAGGGATTCCATGTGAACACGCCTATGCAGCAATCAATGATGTGGGTAAGGATGTTGAAGATTATGTGGTTCCAATGTTTAACACTCACACTTGGCAAGAACAATATGAGAGGGGGCCTGAGCCAGTTAGATGGCAAATGTATTGGCCTACAGGTTTAAGGTTAATAACTGCACCTCTTGAAGATCCTGTTCCACCTGGGAGAAAGAAAGGTGAGAAAATGAATTACAATCGGATCAAGGGTCCAAATGAGTCACCAAAGAAGAAAAAGAAGAAGGGTGAACCAGAGAAACTAAAACTAGGAAGGAAAGGAACAACAATGCATTGCAGATCTTGTGGTGAAGCAGGTCACAATGCAGCTGGATGTAAGAAGTTCCCTAAGGAGAAGAAGAGTAGGAAGAAGAAGAATCAAGATGATGAGGTTTGTTTCTGTTTTAGGCTTGTTTTTGGTCAGACATTTTTGGTATCATGTTGCATTTTGTTTCTGTTTTAGGCTACTGGATCGTCTCAACCACCAAAGGAGAAGAAGAATACTAAGAAGACCAAGAAGAGTAAAGGGACATCTACCTCTCAGCCTACAATAGAGCATCAAGAAACAACTCAGGGACCCGATACAATCACACTCACACAGAGAAGCAGTCAATGGGATCAATGGGAGCCGTGGGAGTAGTTATAGTTGTTGATTGGTTTAGATTTTATGGATGTTGTCTTTGGAACAATCTTCATCCTCTTTTGTCTATTTTGGATGTTGCCTCTTTCGGAAGTTGATGCTCTTTAGGATGTTATTGTTTTGGATGATGACTAACTGATTCTTATGTAATCTTTAGGAGTCTCTTATCATACCTATTCTTATGTTTCAATTTGTCATTTTCCTTACCAAACAGATTCACATTACAAAACAAAGACAAAACAGATTCACTACAAACAAAGACAAAACAGATTCACTACAAAGACAAAACAGGTTCACATTACAAAACAAAGACAAAACAATTACAAAACAAAGACACAAATAGATTCACATTACAAAACAAAACACAAACTGACAATAGATTTACTCTAAAACCTCAACACCTACACTCTTCCCCAAAGCCATACAATTGAGGTAACAATTACAGCAGCAATCCCTACAATCTTCAAAGCTGACTTAGCCATAACATGTCCTAGCTCCTCCACATTCTCCTTCATGGTCAAGAGTTCACCTTCCATCTTCTTAATCAGCTCTTCCTCCATCTGCTTAATGTTTTTGTTATGGAGCTCCATATTAGCCATCACGTTCACTCTCAGAGCATTAGGATTCTCTGCAAATCTCTTACACTTCTCATTTACCATGTTAATTTCGTCCAATAGAGCTTAATCAACCCATTTGAACAGAATTTCTAACCCATTTACTCTTTTTGATCAATTAACAATTTCAAATAACCGAAATGTGTACCTTCATTGCTATCGCGCACCGGTAGAATCTCCGGTATGGATTTTCCTTTGTTTTCGATGTGAAAGTGGTGATCTCTTCTCCACACCAGCATTTGGAAGGGACACCAGGAGGAGAGGCACGAAAACCTGAACTGGAAGCAGATGAGTAGTAGCTCATGGTGCTCACTTTCTTAAAATTTCAGAAGCTCTGAAGTGGAATGTAGAACCCTAAACGCCCAAATCGATTTTGTAGAAGAAGAAGAATGAAAACGACGTCGTTTTTTGCTTGGGTTTTGTTGAGTTTATCAAGTGGAAAACGACGTCGTTTTCTTAACGGATAATAGGTGTTTAGTCGGGTAAATCGCAATCGCGGTACAGAAAACACGGATTTGTGGTTAATCCCGGTTTAATGACCGGTTCAATTGGAGGCGTATTTTTAAGTATGAATCCGAAATTACATGTTGAAATTGTGAGAATTATCTAAGTTAATGGTGGAATTGTCAGGAGCAAAAAGGTTGGAGGGGAAAGCTGAGAATGCAACTAGTTTATGGCTATAAAATCAGCCAACCCGTTGACTTTTGAACATGTATTCCTAGCAAACTAGTAGCAATTTTGCGACGAACTTGCTAGGTTCCATTGCAATTCCGTAGCAGATGTTTGCTACGAATTTGCTAGGTTTATTACCACTATTTCGTTTTCAAATAATTCATTTCAATTTTTTTTTAATTTGACATTTTCCTGAAAAATAAACTTGAACTCTGAATTGCAAAATTAAACAAGTCTTCATCAAATTAAACCTGAACTGAAATGAGTTGATTACAAAAAAAACATTGTCTTAAAACATTAGAAACCTAGGACTAAAAGCTTCTACTACTACTAAAAGGATTTTGATAGAGAGGATACGGTCGCAGCTGCGGTACCGTTACCGGTGTTGTCTCCCGTCACAGGTGTCGTCTCGGTGGTGGTCACTGGATCTGCTTGGCTGGTGCTGGGTTGGTGCTCGGCTCGAAACAAAGCAGCAAATGCAGGATCCTTCTCGGCAAGGTACTCGAAGTAAACATCATAGCTCTGCATCTTCTCTTTACTTTGTTTTAACTCTGTCGCCTGAACTTGAAGAGTTGCTTGACTTTCTTGTATTTGAGTGGCCTGAGCTTGAAGACTTACTTCAGCGACAGCAAGCTTCTGCACAAGAATAAGAGGATCTTCAGTCGGAGGAGGCGGTGAACCGGTATGGGCAGAGGCTGCTTCCTGCTGCAAAGAACCAACGCCATAAATCCTATTTTTCTTCCTCGGAGCAACCTGCCAACAAAACACTCAAAACGTAAGCTTTGCATCAACACAATCAAACTTTAAATCTGTGAAGCAATTACTACAATAAAACTGCCAATTAGCATAATGCAATGAAACTATCAGCAATAAAACTGTGAAACAATTAGCATAAACATTCACTCATTCAACAAGACTACTTAGATAATCATCATCATCATCACCAGCTAACAAAAAGCTAAAACCAGAATCTACTAAGTATAAAATCAGACTAAATAGGCATCTTAAGAGAGACACAACAACACAAACAATGTACCTACACCTGTTTTTCCATAGACACAGCAAATACAGACATAGAACAACACATAAACATGGCTCATAAGAAGTTTTCAAGCATCGTCATAGCTTTAAAATTTACCTTTGTGTAAATCTTGTTCTTTGCATGAATAGACAGCCCACCAGAACCGCTATTCTCCATATTATCTCCTACACAAAGCTCTGATTCCATCTCTTGAATCCTTGAAGAGACTTCATTGAAGATGGACTCCGACTTTCCATCGGTAAAAGTACGATCAGGATTTCTATGAGTCTCTTCTAGGACTTGAAGGAAGTCAGGAGTTAGTTTCCCAGTTTTTTCAGACTGCAAAAGAGAGTTGATCAGTAAATTAAAATGGTCATAAGACACTTGTCTGAACATGTAACATCATAAACTTACATGTTTTCGAGCACGTGCTTTAAAAGATGTCTGGCCTGAGCGGTGTTTATATATGCCGGTGCCATCAGGATCATGATATCGAGCGTTACGACTGTTGATACTCTTTGCTTTTGACTTGGGATCAAGCCAATACCTAACAAGTGCAGCCCATACATCAGGATCAATCCACTTCGGCTTTGCATCATCACCTTTTCGCTTCCACTTTCTCTTCCAGCGACACACTTGATCACACATCCTAGTCTTCAACTTTTTGTCAAACTCAGCTCTAACTCTTGCATTTATAGATTGGTCCCAGTTATATGTTTGCTTCAAAGAAAACAAAAATCAGTAGTTAGAAATGAGGACAGAACTCAAGAACATGAATTATAGAGATTAAAACCTAACAAAAACGTCAAAAACATCTAAGCAAGATTTGAGTGTCTCAAAGCAGATAGAGAGAAAAGACAGCAAAACATATTTGGTACTCGCGTCCTTCCCCCAGTAGGCTGATATCTCATCTTCGCTGCAGTTCTTCCCGACTGGTATAAGCGTTTCAATCTATCAGTTATTGGCAAGTACCACATACGTTTATATGGTACTCGCGTCCTTCCCCCAGTAGGCTGATATCTCGGCTTCCCGCAAAACCGACATTCCTGCAGATTTTCATCATCTCTCCAGAAAATCATGCAATAGTCAATGCATACATCAATCATTTGTGATGGTAACCCAAGACTGGAAACCAACTTCTGTATTTCATAGTAACTCTCAGCCGATATATTATCCGGTGGTAAATACTCTTTGAAAAGTTCAGCCCATGAATCCATGCAATTTTCACTTAAGTTATTATCATCTTTAATTGTCATCATCCTAGATGCCAAAGATAACTTAGATTGCCCTTCTTTACATCCCTCATAGATGGGTTGATTAGCAGAATCTAACATATCATAAAAGCGTTGTGCATCTACGTTGGGTTCTTCGATAATATTTTTAGCAAATGCAGTAGTAGTTTCATGAAATGCATCGGTAACCATATCATGAAATCTATTTTCCTCGTTATACCCATAACCAAATTGATCAGATTCTTGATGATGACCATAATTCGCATAATAATTACTAGGTTGATCGACACCATAATTCATATTACTACTTCCTGCGCTATCTCTACAACCTTCCCCATGACGTAACCATACATAGTAGTTTGGCATAAACCCTCTATTATATAGATGATTAAATTCCAGATATTTATCGTTGAGGCACTTACGACATGGACAGAATATTGAACCATTCTCATGAGCAAATGATTCGTTTGTCGCTTGGTACATGAAACCGCGCAAGCCATCAGTAAACTCTTTCGTCACATCACCGGTCGTCGGATCTCTATGATTGTACATCCATCTTCGTAGTGTGTATATCTCATGCTCTCCACCGCAAGACATTTTTTTCACAACTGTTTAATAGAGAGATAGCATGCGCATCAGTTCGATCGAGTCTCAGTGAATATATTCCGATTCACGAGTTACTCGCCGAGCCGCACTCCCCTTTTCTACCAAACTAGCCATTTCAAGAGTTTTTATTTTTGGAAGATTTTTTTTTTGTAAGTAGATTATTTTTTGTTTTGAGTTATGATTTTTGCATCTCTTATGCTTGCTATTTTTAGGCACAAATTTTTTTTTGCTATGGAATTGCTAGCTATATTTGCAAGGGAATTGCTAGGAATTATAAATTTGCTATGATTTTGCTAGGGATTTTTCACCTACCAACAAAGTAGTTACGTTCATTTAAAATGTGCTCACCTAACTCAAGAGGTACTCGTAAATCCATCGCAAATTTTGCTCTGGAACAGACTTGCGAGGGATATAACCGTCATAGCAGATTCGTCGCAAAACTCGCGCAAATTTGCAACGGAATCATTCCTCGCAATTTTGCGAGGGATTAGCTAGAAAGTGGGGCCGCCTCACAAATTCCTCGCACATCCATTGCAAAATTGCGAGGGAAATTTTCTCTCACAAAATTTCGTCGCAAATTGAGTGTTTTCTTGTAGATTGTGAAAGGCGAAATATAGTCTCTCCAAAGACTCACAACTCTCTGCGTCTATGTATTTTAAGGAATCCGGAATGTGTGGAAGTGTTACCAGCTTTTTTCATCCTTTGAGTCGAAGTCGGCGTAGACGAGAAAGTCTCTTGATCCATGGAGCGATCTCTTTGGTTTTTGTGTCGCTTAAGTACAGCTCCGTGATGGTGTCAAGAGCATGTGGGAATTCCTCAAGGTTTTCACTGTATGAAATACAAAAGTCATCAAAATGAGACCATAACCTGATCGAAGTAGGCACTTCTTTTATTGTAGTTCCAACGATGCTAGATATTCAATATTTGTGGAAATTTTCGGAAAACTTGTCCACCATGAGCAATCAATGAGATCAACTTTTTAAAGAGATTCCAAGGTGATGTTGGTCGGAAAACCCTCTAGCTTAGAGCACCCTTGCAAGCGTTTCCAATAGAAGATGGGAGCTCTACCAAGCTTGAGCAATTGGCGAATTTCAATTTCTTGAGATCAATGATATTTCCAATGGAAGAAGGGAGTTCCACTAGACTTGAGCATCCACCAAGATTCAATTTCTCGAGATTAATGATATTTCCAATGGAGGTGGGGAGCTCTACTAGACTTAAGCATCCACCAAGATTCAGTTCTTGGAGAAAATAAGCATTCCCAATTGAGGAGGGGAGCTCCACCAAACTTGAACATCTTTGGAGACGCAAAACCTGTAGATTAATGGCATTTCTAAGAGAAGAGGGGAGTTTCACCAGACTTGAACATTCACTAAGATCCAATATCTTAAGACAAACAGCACTCCCAATGGCGTAGAGGAGATCACCGGGACTTGAACTATAACTATTGGACATGTTAAGACAAAAGTCATTCTCTGTCAAGGAGGAGAGCTTCTCGACAATAAGAATCCATT